AGGAAGCCAGTTCCAGGACATTGTATCTTTTGGCAATGATGCGCGAAGGGCAGCGCCGCGATGAAGGGATGCGTGGGAATAGCTTGCAACGATGCTTTGAGGATGAAGAGAAAAGAGTCATAGAGATGGATCAGGCGTGTCAGAATAATGAATTCTTGTCATTGACGATAGATGAGTGTCTTTCCGATCACTCACATGTGTGCTATCAAGTCCGCTGCTTCTCTTCACGTCCGCACCGCGCGACATCTGCCAGCCTTTGTTGGAGACCTGTTTGTATGCTTTGCCTCTCTATCCTCCTCCCCAGACACGGTCCTTCGTGCCTCTGCCTCCTATCTTGGGTATATGTACATGATTCGTAGCGATCGCTTCTTGTGAGGCTGTCTTTGGGTGGTCGCGTAGCGATGAGTGTATGAGGTAGATCGCTGTGGATCAGCTCAGTCGTCGCCAAAGACGATGAAGCTCGCTTCTTCCTCAATCTCGAAGTATGCGCAGTCACTGTCACTGAATTCGCTTTCGCAGTCAGAGTTGTCCTCGTCAGAGTCATCATCTTCCCAGTCACTGTCTCCACCATCCTCCTCAATCTCGCAGGTTGAGTCAAGGACGGCTTGTGACTCCTCTGCCTCAGACCGCGAAGTAATGTTGCTTGACTCGTCTGTTGAGCCGACATGATGTATCTTTCCGTGAGAGTAGTCTTCCGAATCCTCTGAGACATCATCTTCTTGTTCCCCTTCCTCAACAACTGTGTGTTTCCCAGGCTCGTAGCGCGGCGATCGCCTATGGAAGTACGGATTGGGTCGTCCGGGCTCGAAATCGGTGTCCGGGGCAAAAACAACTGCAGCCTGTTTGTTCGATCGCGGTCGCTTTTCTAAGCAACCCGTAGTCTCTGACCAGTATAGCTCCACGGCCTTCGCTGCGGTTCGCACGTCTTCGTGCGCGACCTCTGGATGCTGCGCAGACCATGAAGCTTCTTCTTCGGCCATGAGCTCAAGTCTCGATAGCTCCTTAAGTGTGCCGATCTTCCCCTTGCACCAGGCGCTGTAAACGGTGTGTTGGTGTTCTGAGCTGGTGAGTGTACAAGATGGCGCGCAACCGCCTGCGCTTTCGAGAGCCTCTGACAATACATTCATGTATCTGATGTGCAGGTCGATGATACAGACGGGACATCGTGATTGTAGCTGGCCGGCTGCTACAGGGTGCATAGGATGCTGACATATCGATGCGACTGGCGATTCGAAGGAGGATGACGTTTCCGAAGAACGTCCGTGGGTAATGTGACCGGAGATGTCGTCAAACGGGTCTGAGAAGTATCCAGAGTCTTGTCGTTTCAACCACTGGTGGAAGTCTTCATATTCGCGTGCTGTGGGGATGTAGCCTTGCTCAGCTGGCCTAGTATTCGTGTGCAAACATTGCCATCGCTTGTACTGCTTCAGCTCGCGGGGCGGCATGATGACGCTCGCGGGTATCTTGGTGCAAGCCATGGTGGCGTTGTGTGTTGCGTGGTAAGGGCAGGTCAGTGACCTGCAGGTAGAGAGCAGGACTTGTGGTGCCGTAGACGTGTCGCGGGGCGATGGAGATTGACTGCTGTTGGTGTGTATGCTAGGAGTGTTCACAGTCTCGTCCGACAGATGTAGTGCGTGTCCAGGTGGTCCCTGAGGAAAGTCACGGGTGCAGCACTACCACGGTTGAGCGGTTCGTTTGCGGGGAATGTGACCGCTGGTACCAGGGAAACTCTCGGTTGCGCAGATGTCTTTTGGACGAGCCTCTGTTCGTTCACTGCTGCAAGCACGGTCGTGATGTTTGTGCGCGCGCTGTGAAGGGTGGAGGCGAAGATTGTTTCGGATCGGTTGGACGTCCTTTGTCACAAGTCACAACTTGTGAGCGCGACTGTCGCTGCGTTTCCGCTTGAAACGCTCCCTCAAAGTCTGACGTCTACGCCAGGAGGCTATAGGTGTATAGAGATGTTCGGAGTGGCAGTGTCGCGCTCAGACGCGGTGACCAGTGCGGACGTCGTCGCCCAACTTCGCGATCTTGGGGAGATTGGAGTACCGGAAAAAGGCCATGATTCTCGGGCAGATATAATCCATTCCTGTCGCTTTGCTGGGTGGAGTGGAAATTTCGCGATGTGTCGCGCGGGGGTTGCCGTCGACTTGGGCCGGCGTCGGGTGCGGATGTGGGGGAGGGCGGCTGCTGTGAAGAAGAAGGCGGGGCAGACGCGTCTGCTATGAATGACTTGTTGAGGCGGCTCTCTGCTGGGCTTCACTGTCGATCGCGAGTAATATCGCGTCTTCAGTGTGGGTAGGGGCGTAGGGGCGTGTGGGTGTGAAAGGGTCAGCTTTCGTGGGCTGGGCTCGACACTATCGAATGGACGGTGCGGGCGTTTCGTCATGACCCCCTGACTCATTTGGTTCGCGCTAGTGCAGATTAGCGCATCATCCTGTCGCTGAGCCCCTCAGCCACACATACGCCACACCACCTCTCACTTCCTCACGAATGACTTGATCACCAGACAAGATATAACTACCTAGGTATGGGATTCGCATACAAAACTACTGCAACAACGCCTATGGTATCGAATATCCTTATGTCTAGCTCAGCGGCCTCGCAGCCCTCGCCATGAAGCACTGAATCTGGCCCACCTCCTCGCTTGGTAGCTCAATCTCGAAGTTTCCCTGCAGCACCTCAAAGCGGAAACCGACCAACCCAGCCTCCCGCATCATCGATGCCATGTCACTCTCTTTCTGTTGCGTATGTTTCGCTTTGCCTGTCTCTTGCATAGCTTCGCTTACAACGTAGCTGTACAGATCCTGAACGAGAAGGACACCTCCGGGCTTCAGCCTCTGCCCTAAGATCCGGAGAGCGTCCTTTGCAGAGGGAAAATGGTGCAAAGCTGCGCCGACTGTGATGAGGTCGAAATTGCTATACTCTTCGCTGTCGAGCGAAGAAGGCTCGATCGGGTCTGACAGCAAGTTGCCGACCGTGCCTGCAATATTTTCGCGTCTAAGGCCGAACGTGTCTATGTTGTTGATGTACTTCTCAATCATGGTACGAGATACATCAACTGCGTGTATGGAAGATACGTATGGTCCGAATATCTGATTTACGATCAACGAGGGACCTGCGTATTGTACGCAAGTGTACAAACCTTACTCTGCAGGGAGGTACGAAGTCAGTATGTGTCTCACACGCACTTCGTACAGCTAGAACTTACCAGGAACCCGGGTCCGCAGGCATAGTCCAGCATGTGCACTGTCTTGCCCGTTTCTGTGCCACCCGGAAGCTTAGCCCAGTCGATGCCTACAAAAGCGATCCTATCGACAAGTACACGAGCAATCTGTTGACGGCTGGCCTTGTTTATTGGGCGCTCTTCAAACCAGTCTGACACCTGCCTGACACGCTTTTAGCTGATGCATTACTGCAGCGTCTGCGGATGGTACAACTCACCCTGTGTCTTTCTCGTGGTGTGGAGCTGACATATTGCTCAAAGGTCTCGCGTCGCAACGTGATGCTGCGCCTTGCTGTGTGCTCTGCGAAGCGTACTTATACAGGTCATATTCCACTGATTGCTCCATGAGCACCCCATTGGATTTGCACTGGTTTGCAATAAGTCTCCGGCTTCATAGTCGTCGGCGACTTTCAGAAGCACGCTCGGATACATGGTGCCCTTAATGAGGCTACAGAAAAACATCCGGATAGAGACACAGCCTACTGTTGGAGCCTCGCTCCTCCCGTAACTGCTCTTATGTCCCACATTCCTTATTGTATCCGCTTTGGTGCGCAAATAATGTCGTACGTTGCTGATAGCATCCAAGTTGACAGGGTGAGCATCACCAGGTCGGCTCTCCACCAGACGATCAAATCACACATGCTGTGCACCAACCGGTGAGCCAGGTTTACCATTGAGTCACCACACCTCGTGGAACTCAAGCCTACCACGATGAGCTCAGCCCGAAATATGGTTCGAACGCGCAGCGCGGACTTTCCGAACAGCCGCAACGTTGTGTATCTGGGTACGTACACCTACCCAACCAGTCACAGCGGCCTTCATATCAGTAATTGGGCCTTTGCATATTGGCTTCCTCGGTGAGATTCATAGCGTCGCACATCGGTTGAGTGCATACTCCTCTACCCACTGCTACAATGCGACACCAGGTTCTGGAGGTTGGTTTGCGGGGTTACCGGACGCTCCCGCACAACGCTGCAATCTAGACGAAGACCTCGCCGTCTGACCCACCACACCTGTATAACGAACGAACGATTTTGTCTCCTTCAGCTGACATATTCTCGGCTTTTCCGGGCCAAGCGAGATGGTATGGAGCATGACTGGACCCAGCAAATCACGAACCTAATATTAGTCCTGCTTTCAGCCCGACCCTAGTCCAGGGCTGAACTTTGGCTCCTACCGAAAGCCACAACGCTACATCTCCGACGAGAAGGTTATATTCTCGCAATCGAAACAGATGGGCGGATGTATCATGCGATACAGGTCCGTCGTGAGAGCAATACTGTACAACTCTTTTCTTGTTGGATCTTTTGGGCTATGGAGTGCTTACGGTAGACATATAGCGGCTGAATAGAATGAAATGCTCGGCTCCATTCGCATCACTATGCGCGCGATCGAACCACAACTAGCATTCAACGAATGATGATGTGTTCGTTGAATGAACTCTGGATGCGATGGTGCTGACAGCAAGCCTCACGAACCCCAATTGGTCCTTGTCATGACTAGGTACATGCTAATTGCTAACTGTTGTGCTTACTGTTGTGCGGTAGACATGCCCTAACCTAAGTCCGGATGATCCACAACCCAGAAGCACTCAGGCGCGCTCAGGTATGCATGCTACCCTGTCCTTACCCGTCAGCACTTCTCTTGCATTTCCTGAAGGCGCAGCTGCATTTGGGTCATGTCTCTTGCCCACCCGGGCAAGCTCAAAGCTAGTGAGCTCGCTGTTCCCTCAAGATTCCGATCCACCCTTCATACCTAGTACCTTCTATCAGGCAAAATGGATCGACGTGAAGAATATCGCGAGGACATGAGCAGTCCCCGAAGCTATGCCGATAGCCAGTGGAGCCCACCTTCACACTTCCAGGAACACAATCAGATATACCCAGTCGATGGTTCTTCACAACCCTACTCCAACTCGAACACCTCGCCAGCAGTCTCACCCCCACTACCATATGAACAAGAGTACCACCAGTCTCCACAGCCGCAGAACTATGAGGCATACAAAGAAGGGTAAGTCTGATCTCTCCCATTGTCTTTTCCAATGTAATCATCACACCGCACGGCCGCTTCTTGGCCCATAATCTAACGCTATAGCAGGTATTCGACAGAGAAAGAGACTCCGTATAGCACACTCGACCCAATAGGCACGCCTACTCCAGACTTCTCCGGACCTCAAGTGTATGTGCCCTGTACTAACTACTTGTGATACACACACTGACTTCATCCACGAATGTGCAGAGTGCCCGGCCAGTTCAGTCAATACCCTCATGGAGGCCGACCAATGTCACCTTCATCGCATGGAGGCACTACCATCACGTCTCCAAACATCCGGCCCTACGGTTTCAAAGAGCATGTCGACTCGTATGAGAGTTATCATGAACCTGCCCCTCCAGTGCCACCAAAAGACGATCGAAGATGTGGCATGAAGAAGCGCACTTTCTTCATCCTCATTGGTCTCGGTGTTCTTGCACTCATCGGTCTTGGCTTGGGACTCGGTCTGGGTTTGGGTCTAAGGAAGGAGTCGTAAGTTTCAACAAGTGTACTTCTTCATGCACTACTTACTCTAACGCAACGCAGACATAAGGACATTGTTCATCCTTTCTGTCGCGATAACCCAGAATCATGCATCGGCGGTTCTCTCAACGCCGAGTATATGTCGAAAAAGGGTGTATTCAGTGAGTACATATCTGTAAGGTGAATGTGAAATGCACACTAACCTTGTATCTACTTCCTCCCAGACGGCACTGGTATCGCTCTAGCTGGCGAGTCGTGGAATAAAGGCCAACGACGAATCTTCACGCTCTACTTCCAGCATCATACAGGCGACATCCGGTTCATGCAATACACCACAGACAGGCAATGGATCGGTGGAACCAAAGCTCAGACTGTGGCCAGTGATGCAAAGGACGCATCGCCCATATCCGCGGTCGCGTTCGCCATCAATGAAACCCAATTTGTGAGTACTCTGAAACTGACTTTGACCCCTTCTTAGTCTTCTTCTCGAGTAGATGTACTAACTACGAGTAGTTCCACATCTTCTACATCGACAAGAACAACACAGTCAAGCAACTGACGCAGACCAACGTCACCGACATCTGGGAGCCCGGACCACTCAGCGACCTCAACCTCAAAGCATTCGACTCGCCGACCACTGGGCTGCAGGCGTGCTGGAAGGGTGACTTCTATGGTGACACTGACTTTACAGAATTCCCCACCGCTTCCGGTCTAAATAACACAGTCCCATTTACAGGACGAAAGGGCATGGTAAGTTCCATGTTTGTAGAGTGCCTTGAGTTGATGCGCTGACTCCATCATCATTAAAACAGAACATCTGGTACGCCATCGACGAATCGACGTTTCAGCAATATGCTTGGTACAGTGGCCAAGCGGAGGAAACCTGGATCGCGACCGATAAATGGTCTGGTTTCAATGGCCACGGCGGCGTCGGCTGCTACAGCTGGGGTGCTGGCTCCACATCCTACGCCATGCTGAACAACAAGGACAACGACGTCGAGTTCTGGTGGAAAGACACGAATGAAAACCTCACGTCCACAGAAACCCATCCCATCAACTCGTGGCAAAACGCCACCATGGGCACCATACAGGACGTGTATCCCATCACGTCGCTGGGCTACACAACATACTTTTACGCACAAATGGCGGATCGAAGTATCAGAGGATATAACGTTACGTACCAAGCCGAGAACACGACGTTCCTCGCAAACGAGACGTTTGCCATAACTGATCCTGCGGGCCCAGTGCTTGGGCTTGGGGGTACACATCTCACTGTCACTGCATTTGCTGAGAAGCGTGGGGAGGAGACGGTGTGGGACAGCCTGTATGTCTTTTATCAGACGGAAGGCGATGATATTACGGCTTTCACGCGAGGTATGCTGGGCTTGCCTCCTGATTCAATGCTGTAGTCTTGCTAATACATCTTAGGATTGGAAGGCGGTGAGTGGAATCAGGGACCTTTGCAGATTCCCGATGAGTAGATGTGGAATTCGAGAGCAGGGTTGATGACTTTCGCTTCATGTCAGATTACTGGGCTTTTCATTATCGCAGTCACCGCGACGGCTAGTCCTGGGCGTTTGCGCTGGGGTACCGGCTGGTACAAATATTCTATATCATGATTTTACGAGCTTCACGACAGAGCGTCCGTGGTCTCTGGGGTTTCCCCTCTGGAAATATCGTCCCTTTATGCAAGTCGTTTCCATTGTCCATGTACACAGTAATGTGAGCCCACAGAAGGACGCGGTATTTGTATTGTTGTGGCCTGTCTGAACACCCTTGATGCGACTGTCGAGGGTGAAACTAGCTCTTGTCTTTCCAAGCACCAGCGTTGTAACCAGCAGTAGGCAATTTTCCTGGAAACGAGTATGGTAAGCGACGGAGCCATTGACAGCGGGCGGACGGTAGTCTCTTCGGGAAGCGAGCGCGTCCATCAATCCTTGAGGCGCGTACCTGCAATATCTTCCTGAGCGTCTCTGATGAGGAAGCTGGAAAGCCATTAGCGCATATCACCAACAAAACGCTGACCAACTTACTTGTACCACAAAACGGTCGGCAAAACCGTACCCAGATGCCACAGGCTGTGCGCATCCACCATGCCCATCCAAGGCGGGAAGTCCAACAGCTCCAGGCTCATAGCCAAGATGATCCAGGCAACACACAGACCCGGCCAGACAGCCCAGGTCCTCCCAATCTTCTGATACTGAACGTAACTGAAGCCGCTCCAAAGCAGGTTGGACACGATACCAACAGCGACATTGGCAGCCATGTTGTACGTGTAATCCCAGGACCAGAGCGAGAGGTACAATACATGCAACGTATACAACGTAATGCACAGTCCCGTCCAGAGCCTCAGCAAGCTCTGTTTCCTCGGCTCCTTCCTGTCGAGTCGGAACACTCTGATAGGCGCATAGTACAGCCCATACAGAACATTCGCGCCCGCAGCGAAGTAGTCCAGCTTCTCCGTGACCCCAAAGTCTCTGGTATGGAATATCATGCTGAACGTCCAGCTCGCCAGGCCCACGTAACCAAACCATAAGTAGTATTTCCGCAGCGGGTACGACGCGGGTATCTTGTCGCGGAGCTGCGACATGCCCCAGTCGTGCGCGAGGTAGTTGAAGAGGGAGAAGATGACGCTAAACGGCTCTTGCATGCCCATGAAGCGGTAGAAGGGCCATTTGCCGTGGAATTGGTAGATGGGTTGCATGTACGGGGGATCGCGCGCGAGGCGTTGGGTGGTTATGATGTGCTGGCACGTGTAGTCGCATTCTGAGGGACAGTCCCAGAGGAGCAGGCGGCGGTGGAAGGCTGCGCGTGTGAGTAGGCGTGGAGGAGGGTGATTAGGGTGGGCATACGTATTGACGTGCCATCTGGACCGCAATTGGCTTCTTTACACACCTGTAGATGAGCAGTTAGTTACATGTCTCCAGTCGGTGAAGGCGCATTCTCTTTGCTCATGTCTCCAGCCAGGCGCAACTCCATCTACACGTACCTGAACACAGTCCTTGAAATCGGGCAGTCTGTCACCCAATGAAGCCTGGGCTGCTCCGCCCAGCAGAAGCAGAACGGCGAGGGTGTGCCATGCAGAGGCTATTCGTAGCTTCATGGTTCACCGATGTGGGAGGCTGCGGCTGCCATGTGGTTTCGTCTCGTGTTCTCAAGTCGCGTGTCTGCGATGAATCGACAGGGTCTTGGCGGGCCGGTAACTCCGTCGTTTCCCCTGGCACGTGTATGGAACGACGACGACGACGACGACAAGGGAATTCGCAGTATGGCAATTACGCGCAATGATATGGTTATCAGTGTGTCTAGGCTGTTGTCTTAAGGGGAAGAAAGTTGGAAGGTGCGTTATAGTCTACATCCTTACCAGAGCGAAGGCTAACAGATCCAAAGCAATTTAAGTCTCCAAATTCATTTACTTGAGTTTTTATGTTCGCAATATATCATTCCCCATCCCTCAGACGGTTACTATCGCGTCATCTTTCAACGTTCAAGATCTCTATCCACTAGATTGACTCTATCCAAACGTATGGTTCGGCCAACAATCGGATACCATTCGGATTCCACATTCCAACAGCCCCACCTTTGGGCCACCGGTTAGAAGAGGAGTTGTTCTTCGCTTGGTTGGTCTATCTTAAGGTGAGGGGCTCATACCCGCTTACACCCAACATTGTATACGTTATAATTCCACGAATCTCCATCAACACCAGTCTTCCAGACTCCAGGGCGTGTGGCTCAGTGGTAGAGCGTAAGATAACCTTGTACAAACTACATAATAGACAAGTACTGACGTCCTCCGAGGTCCGCTTTGCATCAACTTTCGCGCTAGTCCTAGTGCAGAAGACCTGAAAACAATTGCGGAAGGTCCGGGTTTCGGTAAGACAGTGAATTGAACGAGTTCGAGCACAGTTGCTAACAGAATTGTCAGATCACCCGCCCGTCCATTTCTTTTTGCCCATGCAGACGTCTCGCATCTAGAACACCTTTATTTGAGAGTGTGGGTGTCCAGCTTTTTTATTCTTTTTGCTTAGACAACTTTTACTCGCCAGATATACCGCTCAAAGAGACAGGTGAATGTTGCTGCTCAACGATCCTACCTTTACCGTATCTACTTGATCCAGAGACGCAAGAAGCAGCGTGTAGGGTTATTCATTAGCTGCTTTTGAACTTAAGTTATACGTGCTAAGATCTATACAGCACGTGAAGCCCGTAAGTTGACATATCGTTCATGTGCTCTTGAACACTTTCGCAGAAGATACGGAAGACTCCTTATCACATTATCTATCGCTCTCATTCTACTCCCTCTAGAGTATTTAATTCGCTTTTGATCGACGTGCGTTTCTGCACACTACTCAACACATCCAATAGAGCACAACTGTACTAGGGCAAATTTCCACTTCGTCGCCTTATATTTAGGCACTTCAACGAACTCGAAGAATGGATGGCTACACAAAGTCACATCAAAGTCTGTTGGAAACTGTCGGAATTGCGATCATATACATTTTATTCACACATCCATCAACCACCAAGGTAGTCAAAACTACGCGGCCACGAACATGATGTGCTTTTTGCGTACTTTTCATTCCTGCATTCGCTCTCATGATCTAGCTGAAAAGCATTCGCATTACCACGGAGCTACCAAAGGTGTAGTCCGACAAAACCGTATTCGCCGCCCATGACCCTACGTTGCCTCCTAGAAGACGAGGTATCTACGTCTAAGCCTGGATCGCACGTCCCAAAGCACCGCCAGTGAACTGTTGATTCCTTCCGCCCCGTGGTCCACCTCCGCCGCGACCACCACCACCACGGCCGCCTCCTCGGCCACCACGACCGCCACGTCCACCTTGCCTCTCAAAGGCGTTGGCGGTTCCTTGTGTGCGTTGCTCCAGTGTCTTCTCGTTCGACTCGATGAGACCGGATGCCTTGTCTGACAGGCTGAGCGCGAGGGTCTGTAGTCTTGACAGCTCAACACCCTTCCTGAAGATGATGGCGGAGTTGACTTGGTCGAGAGCGGCAGCGAGCTCCTCGTGTGAAATCATCTTGGAGACGACTGCGGAGACCTTGCGCTCCGACAGCTCGAACATACCCGCCAGTGTGGTGATGGATAGCGTGTCGTAGAAAGGTGCGTATGTGAAGAGATATGTCCGGAGACCCTCTTCCTGGATTTGCGAGGAAAGCATCTCCTTAATCTTCTCCGAGTCGGCCATGAGCTCCCAGATCTTGATCGAGTTGATGAACTCCGCTGCCTTCTTCCATTCACCAGCAGACAGTGCCTTGGACGCCTGCATGACGTGATCACGCGTGTTCTCAGGAGGACCAGTGAAGATCTGGCGCTCATGGTACTCTAAGAGACGGCGGTAGGTCTTGCTGATGACTCGCTTCCTCAGGTCGGGCGAGGAGCCAAGCTGTGCGAGAAGAGGAATCTCAAGCAACATGGAGCAGGTCAGGTAGACGCACTCTAGCAGCTCAAGGTTGATGTGCATGTGGAAAGGAAGTTGCCGTTGACGCTCGAGACGCTCTTGCTCGGGCGAGATCTGGGAGTATCGCTGCATCTGCAGACCTTGTGCAAGCAGCTCCTTCTGCCTGTTGCTACCGCAGATCTCCTGCAGCGAGGTTTGTGCCTCGTAGACGAGACCGGCACGGAACGCGCAGAGACCGACTTGGACCAGGGCGCGGTTGAAGAGAATCTGTGTGTTGACGTCAAAGTTGCTAATGGTCTCTTGCAAATGCGACATGAGCATCATGTCGCGAGCCTTGTAGTACTGGTCGTGCAGAGACAGGAAGTAGATCTGGCACAACATGGCGCGAGCGCGGATGATGCCCTCACTGTTCTGGAAGAGGTATGTGCAAAGAGTTTGTACGAGGGAGGCGGTGTCGTTGGAGATGGCGCGGGGGGTGATCTCGGAGTCAAGGCTCTCCGGGATCGCCTTCCAGACGTTGTTCTCGAGGATAGTGATAACTTGGGAGGGCTATGGACGTTAGCATAGAAAGCAGAAAACGGCGTGTTTCTTACCTTGAAGTAGACGTGTTCCAATCTCCGCATAACAATGCGGTTCAATGGCTCTTGTGGAAGTTCCAGGCTTGGGTTCTTCTTCATGCTCTCAACGTATACCAGGGTGCGCACCAGCTGAGCGTACAGCAGAGCCTCGTCGGTCAACCGTTCAATGTACTCGGAAGTGTGTGGGTCGATGTGCTGCAGCGAGCGGGTGAGTTCGTCGTCGAGCCTCTCAACGAAAGAGACGACGCTTCCTGGGATGCGGAAGATCTCGCCGGGTGTGATGGTGGGCAGCTTCTCGTCGTCCTCCCACTCCTCGGCGTTCTCAATGACAACAATCTCGTTGCTGTTCTCAAGAATCTCAAGGAGCTTTCCGAATTCCTGGTCGGCCCTGCGTTATGTTAGCAAATGGCAAAC